ATCTGCATGAGTACCAGGAATCTGATCACAAATTGCACGAAGTCGAATGCTGTTAGGATCTGCAACGAGAGAAACTTCATTTCCAGGAACTTGCCGAAGTCGCTTTGTTGGCTGGGCTGAATCATAAGTTTGATACGTGATGGCTGACTGCTGGCTCTGAACAGATGCTGTAGACTGATTCCGTTGAGAAACAACAGACTGCTGAATGTCAAGCAAATTGTTGAGGCCAGCATACACATCTCTGTGGCCTCGGACATGTGTCAAGTTTGCTGCCATAATCGCTGAGTATTCAGCGAAATCAGCCACCGAACGAAACGACAACCGGAAACCTGTGCCATCTGCATGAAGAGTGATTGCAGGGGGAACCTCTTGCTGCGGAATCTGCCGATCATTTACAGGACATGCAGCAATCAAAGTAGGAGTTACATCTGTAGCTCTCGCTCCAACATCGGATGCAGAAGGGACCGGCAAAGAAGAAGATGAGGCAGGCGCTGGACAAACTGCAAGAGTGGGGGGTGGCGGGGGGAAGGCGGGAGGGGGAAGGGGAGGGGGGGGTGGAATCCACTTCGCTGTGGTACCACGGGCGGGGGCAGGGGCGGAAGTGGGGGGGGGAGGCACAGGGAGATGGGGGAAGGGGGAGGAAGGAGGGGGAGGAGGAGGTGGGGGAGGAGGGGGAGGGGCTGATGTGCGGGTACTGCGTCTCTTTCCTGAAGAATCCATGGCAAACTGATCAGCAATTACTCAGAAGTACAGCTCGGAAACTCGATTTGTAGCCAAAGACCTGCGACAAGTCAGCGAAAAAGTCAGATTCGGGAAAGTCGATTTGATCATAGACAGTCAATGAGAAAGTCAGCATTCAGGTTTCGGTAGAAGCATTCGGTGAAGACTCATTGGGAAAGTCAGCTTGCAAGCACGGATATAGAATCAGGGAAAGTCATCCAATGCTTATACAGTCAATCGGGAAAGTCAACGCCAGAGCTACCTCTGGGAGACACGGCGCCCATAGGGAATGCCGTTGTGAAGCACACTTGACACATCGTGTCGCAGGTCTCGAATCACACTCTCAAAGTCAGAAGAGTCAGCTATGATTTCCTTGTCGGTCTTACTAGCGAAAAAAGCCAAGCGACACCTGTAACCTTGCACACGAACTCCACTCTATGCTCTGGCTGTCGGACTTGAAGCAGTATACAGCGAATATGAAAAGGAAAACAGTGAACGGCTTGCACAATGGAGTATGTCACAAGCTTTTGCAGGTACACGAGTCAGCGTCCTGACTCGCTTCACAGATGCAATGCTGGCGTCTTCGTTGGTGCCAGTCCAGCATGCATCCCTGGCACCCCCTGCATTACACACACTCGACCCTTTGGAACAGGGATGGACACACACACACACACACACACACACACACACACACACACACACACACACACACACACACACACACACACACACACACACACACACACACACACACACACACACACACACACACACACACACACACACACACACACACCCCCCCACACACACACACACACACACACACACACACACACACACACACACACACACACACACACACACACACACACACACACACACACACACACACACACACACACACACACACACACACACACACACACACACCGACCGACCGAAACAACCAGAATTCCGTACGATTTAGCAACCGAAGTCTACACATCACACCTGCTGTGACTTTCAACAACTTCTCCATGTCGTGAAGCATTGGCGACAGCAGCCTTTGAGTCTGGCCACGCTCGCAACCGGCAATGGGCTGGCTGAGTGGGTTTGGGGGAGTCGTTCAGTGCTACACACCTACCGGAGAAGCCAAAGGGCCGTCAGAACTCCTTTCATGTCAAGCCAAGCAACCAGCGATGCAGAAGAGGCTGCTGCGCCATCGCCGGTGCTATGATGCTATTCGCGGGAATGAAGACATGCAATCTGCCAAGACTAACGTTTCAAGAGTTGTGTGCTCGACTGTCGTGGGTTCTCTGGTGACGTCAAGACCTGGCAGCTGGCACCATGCCACAGTTCCAAAAACTGTCACGGTCAAGCCTCCAACTACTACCGCGGGGCGAGCTGGCTCCCGTACAGTCAAGAAGGTGCACTGAACTGCTTCATCCAACAACGCGTCGTAGAAATCATTCCGCCAGAATTTCTGGCCTCCATTGTACTGGTCTGCGTGTCCTGGGAGGCCTCGGGCGCTAGCACGGCCGCCTATGACTTTTCTACGGCCATGAACGTATCAAGAAAGCCAAAGCAGGGCCCGGAGTGTTGGATGATGGGATACATGCATCGTCGAAGCCGAAAGGATCCGGGTCCTCTTATGGCTGAGTGCCGAATCCAAAGAACCCCCGAGGGCCCAGGGGCAGCCTGCCTGTAGGCGTCGGAGTTTCTGCAGATCTTCACGCATCTGCAGCATCTCCGATGACAAAGCCTCGGGCTCTAGCAGGGTCGGGACCTATAGAAAGTTTGACGGTTTTAACACTAATTGACTTTGTCCCTGTCCATAGAACAAGCGAGGCTGGGAAGGGAGATGAAGGCTCCCAGCACAATGCTTCAGCCTCAAAGACATCCGGCCTTGCCCAGAAAATCCTCTTAACATAAACCTTCTCCAAAAGGTGCGCCGGATGCCGACCGGGAAACCTTGATAGCATGTACTTTAGAAAACTGACGCCGCGCCTGATAAGTCTCATCCATGACCTGTGCCAGGACACACTGCAATGGTCCCTGGACACTCAATTCAAATTGACTATTTCCTTGCTTTCGACCGTCGGCGTCGCTTGCTCCTGTTGCCACAGTAGTTTATCAGCATGACTATATTCACTTTGACACTGGGTTTTGTGGCACTCTGCACTCTTTCCAGATTTTTCATATCTCTTTAGGCACATCTCTGCGCCCTAGCTCGCCTGCGTCTCATCCTCTCAACCCGTCCTGCAAACTGTAAAGTTGCTGCTGGATGCGATGGCCTTGGTGGCGACCTCGAGCTGCTCGATGCGGGGATTCAACCCCCGTGTGCCAGCCTGAGGGGTGAAGCTTGGGAAGGTTTCGGCGAAGCCCAGGCGAGGCAGGTTCGATTAGGTCTTCGCTAGTGGTGAAACCACACTGAGAAGGTTTGGTTAAGGCGACTGGCCGTGGTTTCCGGACCAGGCATGGGCGCTCCCGCTTGCGAGCAAACGTTCAGTCTTCCACTTCCGGAATAGTATGATTGGAAGGTGTTCAATTCGGTGTGCCTCGGCGGCCTTAGAGCGGCAAATCGAAAGCCCGCACATCCGACAGCAATCGCTGCAGCAATGACAAGTGAAGACACATTCGGTGAACGATGCAGCTGTGGCGGACACAGGCTGTGCACGAACGAGCTGCTCCTGCAAGGCCTCGGGTGTGTACTGATGCCCGCGGCAGGGGAGTCTGAGTTGCTATGAAAGCAACCTGGGGAGCAACATCAGGGAGAACCAGATTCCTACTGGTTCGTACTCATAATTGCGTTGCCCAGTGCCAAGCAGTCTCTCCAGCCTCCAGCTGCTCTGCCATGTAATCCAACCGTGCACTAGCAACAGGTCCTGCAACGGGCAATGACATCTCCGATGTGACGGTCTTGACCTAGATAGTGTTTCCCTACTGCCTTGCCCGCATCTCTTCGTGTTCCTGGGTGGCGGTTGCCGCGCCGAGCTGGAGTACGTCAGGATAAAGCCATCCCTCGTAATCGGGAAAGACTCGCTGCAGGCATGCTACAGTCGCACGGTGCCTGTTGTGAGACCACAGTCTGTCATGCTTTATCCACTTTTCAGAGAACTTCCAAGCTAACGCGAGGTGTACATCTAGAAAAGAAGTCTCCCTGGCAATCTCCGATGTGGTGCCACCTTGATGATGTGATCGTTTGTCCTTGTGTTCTGACTTGATGCATGTGGGTAGGTAGGTAGGTAGGTAGGTGTGCGTGCGTGTGTGTGAGTATGGGTGGGTGGGTGTGGGTGTGGGTGGGTGTGGGTGGGTGTGGCTGTGGGTGGGTGTGGGTGGGTGGGAGGGTGTGGGAGGGTGTGTGAGGGCGGTGCTGCTTGAGTGCCTCCGTGCCTGCCCTGCTCGCCTCTGGATTCGCACTATTTAAAGCACACAGCACCCTTCAGAAGAAGCCTTTGGTTGCGCCTTTGCGCGCGAGGGAATACTTCATTGCGCGGCATGGACTGTTGATGTGCGCGGTCTGGAACCAGTCCTTTCTGTATACTTGCTAATTAAGCTACTTCGACAAACCGTTGGTAAGCCTCAACAGACAGGATCTGGGACTTCATTAGTACCTCTACACCCAGTGGTAGTAGTGACACGTGATGCTTAGAGGCACGTCCTCCTCTGTTGAGGACGCCGAGAGAGCGCAGCGTCTCGTCTATGGCCTGGCTGCATTTGCTCAAACGGGACGACAGCCTCCATCCCTGCCGTCCACCTGCAGGAAGCCCTCTTTGCCACCACACAGGGCATTTCCCTGGGCTTCGCCCCCTTTCATCGGAGGTGGGTATGTGTCAAGTTGTGTTGTCACTTGAATCCTTTCGCCTTTTTGCGATTGTTGAGACATGCCCACATGTCTGGATAGCCTCTAGTTTGGGCTGAATCAACCAGGACGGATCCCAAGACTTTCTCTCCCAAAACCAAAGACTCTGAAGATCAGGTGTAGGGCCAGTCTTCGTGGAGTCGGCTGTCCCAGGATCCGTCCCACAACAAACTAGAGTCTATCCAGATTAAATTTGTTCCCATGCTCCACCAGCAAGAGAGGCATACTATTAAATCGTAAAGGGGCCCTTCTATTAGGACCAAATGTGGCCGAAGCGTCACGTGGGGCTGCTAGTCGGCGCCTTCGAGCGATATGCGTGTCCAGGTCCGGCAAAACCTATAGGCCTCTGATGGCCTCTGTGTAAAACACTCGAAAGCGGTCAAAAATGGCATGCTCAGCTAGGGAGACTCTTGCTCGGAGCTGAGGCATGTGTGAGGAATCATACGACCTGAGCTGTTGTCAAAAGGTCTGCGGTTCGATCAATGGAGCCATCACTGAGCTGGCTGGTCGTAACCGCCCGGCGTTGCAAACGAATTTCCTGATCGCCCCCGAGTTCCTCGAAGACGTCCACGACCTCCCTCAGATCGCATGAAGGCTTAGCGACTCGGCAATTACTAAAGCCTGCTCCTTGCCCGACCGTTTTCTCTCTGGAATCCTCAGCAGTCAAGGAGCTGGTACCCGCCCCAGCGACTTTGAAGCCGCATGGCCAGTGCCTCAAAAACTAAGGCGGATGGTTCATGGTACAGGCCATGCTTGGCCATTGATGTGGCGCATAGTCTTGCATCCTCTCGCGTAATACCATCTTTTGCTGAACCTATCAGATCTCGCATCGCTGCTCTGAGACTGTTCTGAGTGCGGCTGCTACCTGCTGTTGCTAGGGTTTCCAACCGCAAACGCGATTTTGCTCACCAGGCCTCGGACCTCTTAAGAAAGCAGGCGTCCTTCCTGCTGTCAAGCAAAGCAAAGGGCCCTGGGATCCCGAAGCCGCCTGCGGCGTCAGGCCCCGGTTGGTTTTGCAAGTGGGCCGCGCACCAAGGCGGAGGAGAGCCCTGCCACCACGGCAACGATCAACAAACGATACCAGAGACGTGTCCTGTTTGGACATCAATCGATATACCAGACTATGGCTATTGAACGAAAAGTTCCGTACAATATAAGACAATGCAGCACGACCGAAGTTGATTCGGGTAGAGACTGCCTCACTCGTCGCCTGAGACAGATGTGTGCCATGTTTCCCATTCTGGTGTCGATCTATGATGGCCGAGGCGGCGTTTACCACTGCTAGCACGATAGACAGTTGCAGCTTTTCGAGCAGGCCGCAGGCGGCACAGTAGCCCCGCCCCCCGCCTCACAATTGCGGGTTTCTTCTGCTGCACGGCAACATGCAGGGGATAGCCTTGCGATGGCCAGCACTGGGAAGTAGAAATCACATGGGGCGCAAAGTGACTCAAGCAGGCTTGTTTGTCTTCCAGGTTCTGCATTGTCTGAGCTGCCGAGGAGCGAGTGCGACCCCAGGAGTGCTTCGCCTCGTTGACATGCATAAACCTGTCGTGTGGAAGGCCGAGACTATTTCTCTGCTTCTCCAGGAGAAAGGCTTCGGCTGTCCAGGTGCCGCAGTCAATTTTTGCAATCCCTGGCGATGCTAGACATCCATGGGGTCGCTGTGGCTGCTGGCATCCCTGAGATGTGTTGACTGTGAGAAAACACCTTGACGACATTGGAGTCTATAGGAGGCAGGCAGTTGGGGCAAACTGCGGCAAGTTGCTCTATGTCCTATGTACGTAGCAATTTCAAAACCCAAGGCGTGTGTCTATTTCACTCGTGCTTCACAACATGTCATACGGCTGGGCGGGTTGTGTGGGAGCTTCATCTTCTGGTTTCGGATTGCGTGGCACGCCTCATCTCTTCACGGCGGGCCAAATAGCAAACCAAAACTCGGTCGAATACGCATCACCAGCGTTCCCCTGCTGCCCTTAACACCAACCCGCGCCGAATTGCTACGACCACCCACACACACACACATGCACACACCAGCCGCAGCCTGGTAGCGAACTCATACGGACAGAAAGGCAATGCAAGCTGTAATCTGCCGTCCCAGCCACCCATTGACTTCAAGGAAACTTTTGGCAAGAAGCTTCCGCCTGTCTCGGGGAGAGTATCACCGGGATGCAACAGTGGGTCTTGGGCTGATCTCTGAACAGTTCAGGAGGTAGCTGGACGGCCTTTAACAACAGCAAACGACACATGCAAAGAAGAACATGGAGAAATCTCTCCAGCTTTAAACTGTCAGTAACATCGCTCCTTCTTGTGCGCATATTGCCATGCAGTGGAGCTTTGCTAGCAGCAAAAACGGAGATGTGTAGGTCCAGGGCTTTTCACCTGTATTCAGAAGTCAACCCGCGCAGGACGGTACACAACCGGCAAGAACTCTGGACGCAAACAAGCATCCGAACCCGAAGCCACCTAGCAGAAACCGTTGGCCCTGAGCCCCTGAATGCGGAGCGAGATTCTGAAGGTCACGTGGGATGGACTTCGTGGTGCGGCTGGTGAACAAGCTCGTGGTGCTGCCTTGGAACGGAAGTTCGCGGAAATGTTCCTAAGCGGAACCTTGCGACATTCTGTACCAAGCCCCATTGGATGTCGCTGCTGCATCATGACCGGAGTGATTGGGGTTGATGGGAAAGGCCAGTGTCGCATGGAACCTCGCCCTGCAAACTCCGCAAACTTTCCGAACATGTCCTGACTCGAAGAAGCCAGAAGATCCTCCTCCTCCTCCTCCTTCTCCTCCTCCTCCTCCTCTTCACCTTCAACAACGACAACAACAGCAGGACTAAAGTCATCGTCATCATCGCCAATGCCATCTTCATCTTCCATGTCATTCATGAACGCCGTCATCAGCATCAACGACAACAAATTCATCACCATCATAATATGATGGCTTCCGGGTATCATCACCCCAGCTTAGCGCATGCCCCCCCGGCCGACCCCACACAATTATCCGTGGGTGTGCTTTGACCCGATCGCATTTTTGTATGGCAGTCGCGACCGCGACAGGTCTGATGGCTGGAAGTTGGAACTGCAGGTTGAAACCCCAAAGGGTTCAAGTTGTAACGGATGAGGTGCCGGGGAACTGGCAGCTCTAGGCTTCCGGTTCCTGATTCTGAGGATGAACTGAAGTTTCACCATGTTGGCGTGGCTACGAAGAGGTCCAGCACGACTTCGAAAAGTGCGTGCACCTCCTTCCTCAGAAAGGTCAATGATTGTCAAGATTACATCATCTCAGCCCAGTGTCGCGCGGTGTCCGGAATGGCGCTGCCCGTGCTTGCACTTGTAGAGCTCGTGTTGGTGCCAGTGCTGGTCCTACATTCTGAATTTCAACGTGATCTTTTGAGGTTCTACGGGCCGCGGCTGGGGACTGATCACATGTCGCAGGAAGGTGCAGGTTATAGTACGTATTATATAGAACGCTGTACCTTATGCGTGATATAGCTGCAGTGGATGCTGCAATGCAGACTTGAGACCGGCAGGGCGAGTTCATCGAAATCACACTGACACAGTCGGGACCACTGGTGGCACCCGGGCTCCTTGTTGATCCGAAAGAAGGCTCTCGGTCGAAACGTGGGTGCGCAATCGTTCCTGCAGACAGGACTGTTAGTCGTTGAATTGTAAAGGTGGCCTCAGCGGAAGCTGCACTGTGGGGGTTTTGGAAAGTTGCTTTCGTCTCACACTTGCACAAGGCTTGCTGCACGACGTGTATGCTTTGGTCTGCTGCCCTAACACGGACAAAGAAGTCGAATAGACTGCGCCCATTGCAAATTTTCACTCCAAATAATCAGAACATGTGATGTTGCAGTACTTTGCAGCAGGGCAACGAACCACAACATGAACCCGGATGCGCTTGTGAAATGGTAGCACAACGTTAGTCTATGGTGCCATCACATATTCACACCCTTCCTTGCGATTTTTTATTGGATGTCCGGCGTGCTTTTCCCTCTCTACTTGTACATAGCTCTGCAAACTATTTACATTGTATACACACAGTTACAACACGAAGACACAAGACAGATGGCAATGACAATCCTACCTACCTTTCTGTCCATTGTCTTCCCGTCACGAACAATCTGCCCGTCCATCTGTTTGCTTGTATGATGCAAACTTGTGTAGAACCACATAGAATGCACTCTCTACGGCAAATACGGCAATTCGTGTACAAATGGGTATGCTTATGCTTGCATGGGAATGATCATGCATGTGTACTGTCTTGAGAGCATGCAGTTGTGTCGGTGCCAATCTTGTCGAGGCGTCTAGTCTGGTGCCAACGTCTTGTATGCCACTTGATGCTACAGACTGTAAGGATCATGATCGGCGTCGCTAGCACGACATGCTTGATACAGTATGGTATCTCACGTATTCGGGAATGGGGCACATCTAAGTCATGAGGATTTCAATCCTGCAGAACTGCAAAAGGTGCATTGCACTCTTTCTGCCACGTGTGTCTGCCTAGGATGAACTAAGCTATATACTCTTCAGCCCTGCGAACCCTGAGCAGAAAAAGTGAAAGTCCAACGCACAAAACGTCTCAATACCCCCCAATTCTGCACTCCTTGCGCCCTTAAAGGCTCCTGAAGGAGGCAAGGAGGGCATCTCGGACAAGGTCTGTGGCTGACTCTCTTCAAGCGGCCTCAAGTATTGTGGCCACAACGAGTTGGAGCAGGTGGCTAGTGACGGCTAGTGTTGCGGGCTTTAGGACTATAATTATATCGATTCACTCTCGCCTGGATGTTAATTGTCCATCACTCCTCACATATCTCAACGGCTAGTCGCTAGATGCCAAACGCGTTTGACGCACAAGTTTTTTTCCCTCCTACCTAGCAAGGACAAAGCCACACAAGTAAGATCGGAGACCTTTATGCCAAGTCGCGTTGGTGGCGGTTGCTGTTTCAACTCCTCCATGCTCTTGCTGACGGCGGAGAGGCTGGTTGCGCGGGATGTGAAGAGCCCAAGCATGGTGTCTAGGCCGGCAACTACCCGCAATAAAGCGTTTCGAAACTACAACCTCGGGAAAACGAGCCGCGTGAGCTGCGCCAGAAAAGCAGTCAGCATAACCCGCCACAGACAGCAAACAAGGACTTGGCAGGAAAAGATCGCACGACAGAGTGTGTGCCGGTTTTGCATGAAACCCTCCAAATCAGTACAACACCTAAGCACAGCTTCTATCTGCATGAGGTCCCTCAATCCGCCCCGGTATCTCGCCTTCCGAGTGCACATTCAATGTTGCATTCACCCTTCCAAAAATCTACAGCTGTCAACATTGACTTGATCACTCCAGTGCCCACATCCGCCTCGATTTTGTGGTTGTTCTCGTCATAGAGTTGCCGTGAGCTGTGCAAAGTCTCGTCCAAGGCCTTCGGGCAATGCAAAGCTGCACGAAAAGTATGGGCTTCAGATGGCTGTGGTTAGATGCAGTGCGTTTTTCTCAGGTTCGTCTGACTGTCAGGCAGAAGAGCCGAAGGAATCGCAAACCGCAGACCCATTCAACCGCGTCCCCCCCCGCACTCGACCATACACTGCTGCAGGAGTACTGCTGACTGCAGGTGCGACGCACGTGTGAGCCTGCAGTCTCATGGCCAGGTCTTCCACCCTTACCTGGCAGCGATTGCAAGAGTTCAGTCCAAACCATTCTCTAGGGCTCTGGTGTCATGCGTATCACAGCATCTTGGAGTCCTCGAGGGACGATACTTTCTGTGTCGCACGGCTCTGCATCTCAGTCAGCTCCTGCGGCACAGCGGTCTGTCCCCTCATGCTTGAAAGCCCATTGAGACCAAACCAAAAGCCCGCTGCAACTCGGACAGCGGTCACCATCCTGACCTGTGTGGCTTTACCATGCTGAGCAGAAGGTGATGTCTTCTCTTTGAACGACTACACGTGAGCTTAATCTGCGCTTCTGCCTGGAAGGAGGACGCGAGGGCCTGGCGCAGATGGGCCAGGCTGTGAAGCTACAAGCAGTCACGAGGGACGACTTGCGAGGCAAATGGCTGTGATGTGACAACAGCATAAGGGCAAACTGACCATCCGCAGCTAGTCTGCACAAAGACCCATTCTGATCCTCTGCCTCCTCTTTGAGCCCACCGCCCCGAGGAAGGGCTGCATCCATCTTCTGAAAGGTGGCATCTAACACCTCACACCGATGCATGGTGTCTTCTCATAGTGCCAGCCCTGGGTGCAGCTTGGAACGTGGTTGAGGCTCAGGTCTGACCCACGTGGCTTTCGAAAGTTCTGAGGCTCGAGTTCGCCAGCTGCTCTGCTGTCGCCCACATGTGGTGCAAATAAAACGATAAGATCGCATGCCTCATGTCACAGTCATGGTCCTAGCCAAGTAGGACAGGACAAACAACCTGCATCATCGCGAGCCTCCACCTTGGAATTCAGCTGCGCCAAGGCATCCGTCGTTGAGATGGAGTATGAGCTGTCCACTGCATGGAGCGTCTCATCCAGCACCTGACGAACTTCGTCCCGGGTGGCTGCCGAAGCTAATATTGCGTGTAGTGTAGTGCAAGCCGCTAGCCATTTGTTGGTTAATGCTCGAGCAGTGCAAGGTGTTACGCAAGCGGCCGCCGTCAAGGCCTTGGTCATGGCCTCGACTTGTTCCAGGCCTGAAAATGAGAGGAATGTGGCGGAATTCGTCTGACAGCTTGCACTGCACGACCTAGCATCCTCGACTGCGACTTTCTGTGGAAGAGACGCATCTCCAGCTGCCGGCGAGCTTCGGTCTGCACGGCTCCGGCTTAGGCTTAGGTGCTCCGCAGTCAACTGGGACGGCTATTCAGCTGCAGCTGGAGTTTCAAGTTGTGCATGCTGCATAGGTCCGAATAAGCTATGAAGCTTCTCTCGACTCCCGCAATCTCAGACTTTACTGTGCCTCTTCTGAAGCCAGTGCTGCCAATGAGGCACGGGTCCTAGACTTGGTCGACCGTAGCACTTGGAGAGTTCTGCTCTTGGTTGCTTCAGTCAAGCCTTGTATGTTGATGAATTTAGGAAGCAAGCCTAGGCACACAAAGAAATTTCCACATAGAGAAGGAGCCTCGTTCTCCGGTATAGTTTTCGCTTGTAGAAGCCTTAATCAGACCCTTACGTGGCCTACAAACATGACCAAAAGTTAATTTTGTCAAATCTTTATGCGGGTGCTAGATAAAGTCATATTTAGAGGGTCAACGCGTAAAGTGTAAAAATCTTCCGAAATCTCTTGGTGGCAAACTCCGAGAGGTCTCCAGCTCATCATGTCATGCCCAGCAGAGTGTCATCTACGGGTTTCCTGGCTGGGATCTTCATGTCTAAAGTGGCGGCCCGTTTGGCAGTGGGCGGGCCCGACAAAAAAAATACGCTTGATTAATTTGGTGTCCGTGATGCCTTGAACTTTGGTTTGGAAGATTGTGGGCTCTTGGGTTGGGGTCTGGGTGGCTTTGACAAGTTTTAAGGGAAATGGAGGGTCTCAGGGTTTCGGGGCTAGCTTAGGCCGGGTCATTCGAAGAGAATTGGAATGGTGCCAGGGTTTGGGCACTTTAGAAAGTAAGGTCTAGGGTTAAGTGGGGTTAATAATTAGATTGGATTTAGGGTTTAGCCTTAAGGGCGGTTTCGGGTTTAGGGAGAGCTTCGGGCTTCAGGGGCAGGGTTTTAAGGTTTGGAGCGGGGTTTCAAGCTTTGCGCTCTCGCAACTCGAACTCGCCAGACGAGGTCTCTGTGTTCGACAGAGCCAGGCCAAGGACAACACCACAACGCAAGTTAAGGCCACGCAGTATCCCGGCTCTGTCCTCTCAGTATGTTCGAACTAAACTAAAGCCCTCGAACACCCAAAGGATTCAGGCTTTCGGGTTCAGGGAGGTCTAGGGTTCAAGGGGGTTAAGATTAGGATCACCGGGGGATTTACGGGCTTCAGGGCCAGGGTTTTGGGGTTTGGAGGGGGGTTTTAGTTCAGGTTGCGTCGAGGGTTGGGGTTAAAGGGGGTAGCGGGATTCGGGGCCAGGCTTAAGTAGGGAGGGTTTCGGGTTCAGGGAGAGCGTCGGTTCCATAAGATTGACCATCAGCAGAAAGGAAGCAACACAGCAAAAAACTCTGCCGGCCCGCAAAAATGCATCAAAGAGGACACCAAAATTTTAGTACCAGCTTGAATAAGCAAAAACACGCATTAAAGAGGCCCACTGGTCTAAAAGGGGCCGCCACATTCTGTGCCGCATTGAGGCCTGAGAATTTGCAGACCTGACAACTAGTTGCACAACGTTGCGCAGTTGAGTGGCGATTCTGACAGCTGAATATAGGTTCCATAACGTGGCACTGGTCATTTTTGTGTTGAGTGGGTAGGATGAGTATGGATGAGTGAGCCGATTTCTGTGCGATGACAAATCAAAATGACGTGCAACATCGTATTGGCCTTGTCCAAACGTCGGCTGTTTCGCCAAAGCAAAGCGTACTGGATGTACTGGAACTCTAACTGTAACTTACTTCTATGTTTCATGCTCGCTAAGAGCTTGGCTAGTGATGTTCGGTTGTGGTTGTGCTGTTGATCTCAAATAGTTGTCTTGCGACTTACCATGCTGGTTTTGCGACCACATGTCTTTCGTTACCTTAGTTTGAACTTGAAATTTGTCCACTACTGATTTCTGTTGCCGTTTGCCACTGCAGTGCAGCGGAACTCGTCGTGTGGGCCCTGCTCCTAACGATCTGAAATAAAACTGCGTGAGCGCGAGTATTGTTAACATTCTGTGCTGTGCCTCCGAGATGCCTTGTTCAGATTGATACATCGGGTCGGGTTGTGTTGAAACTGTCTTGGGCTGCAAATGATCCGTGTCCTTTCCGCCAAATCGCCCAAGGCGCCAGATCCTCACAGATCGTATGGGCATGCAATTTGCAAGAGCATGCAGCATGGCAATGGGGCATCTGGTACTTGGTTGTAGTTTTGGGGCTCTGAAAAGTATTGATGAATAGGTACCTCTATAGGAACCATAGCGGGAAATTAAAAAGTTTCCCAAATTGCCACCAAGGGTAGTACCGGAGGGGTGTGACTGAGGCAGCTGCGAGCAGAGCCTGCCTTCAACCTCGGCATTGGAGTCTTAGCGGCTGTTTCTGAGACATATCTTCTGATTGGGCCCCCCGCTGCCGGCTATACCAGATTTAGCGCAGATTCTGCAGACATGGTTGTAGTTTAAGGCCCAGCCGGCCCGGCGACCACTAGATAGCTCCATTAGCTGAGTGGCACTGCTGATGTAGCACAAACATCCGGGTCTTGCACTAAAACCAAGACCAAACTGTGAGATGGGCCATGCGGATGTTTTGATGGGATGGTGGTCACTCCAATTCAAACCATCTCAACATCATTTGGCAAATCGCACCCTGCAGCACAGGATGCGAGGATATTCGCCTTCCTGTGATTAGCCTGACGGGTCGTGTGCGGAGGAATGCGCCTAGCACGGGCTCATAGCTACATCGCATCGGGGTGGCTGCACCTTTTTGGCAAATGGGGTTTGTGAGAACTTTTTGACTTGGGCCAAGGCCTGCTTCGCAGGAATGGCCTCGCGCGACTTTTGCGCAACGACTTTCATGGCTCCAAGCGAACGGCGATACTGCGAATTTCATTGGTAGCCTGCAGGTATCTTCATGACATGCCATTACAAGAAGCTTTTCGATATCTGAGAGTTTCGACCCGAACTCTTAGGGGCTAAGTCCCCAAGACCCAAAAAAGGTTCACCTTTCCAACTATGATAGGATTTACATAAGGTATAGGGTTTAGGCAGGAATATATAGTGAGTATCCGAGCAGTGAGCAGGCATCCAAAACATGCTTCATGGAGCCTCTCTCCGCATGTCTTACTACATGCCAGGACGACGCCGACTTTCACGAGATTTAGCTGAGACGGCCGAATCATTGGAATGGTTGGACTCCGGAAGAGGAGGCAGTGAGACAACGTCGTCGACGGAGTGGTCCCGTGATGGTCTTTCGTAAGCTTCTGCATCTGTATGTCCGGCGGCGCTTGTCACGCATACACCAGGTGTAACTACCAGAGACCGACCATCCATCGGCTTGGAAGCAACCATGATGGCTCCGGTAGTGCTTGGCCTCTTCACATCGTCATAGCTGCAGTTGGCGGGTAGGCCGCGCTGACGCCAACCGGGGCCACCCGATGCGAACGGCCGGCGCTCCCCTGGGCTCACCTCCCGCGGAGTCGCTTTGCCACGTCGCAATGAAGGCATGGGCTGGCTTTCCTTCACCCTTGCAGGGCGTGGAGGGCTGTAGGTGACGTCGTGGTCCGGGATGTGGGTAGACTGCAGCGCAATGGTCGCGAGGGCTGTGGGCTCCCATTCAGATGGCCGCTGCCGGTGCGTGATCCAATGCATGACTGAGCGTAAATGACCAAGCACTTCCACTGTGTTGTCGTGCCGCAAGACGGTGCTTGTGGCAGGGCCGCCCCTGTGGGGTCTCAGGCAGATCTTGCCTAAGCAAAACACACCTTGTGCCAGGCACTCGAGCTGCTGCTGCAAGAGCTCCGTCAATGTAGAAGCCCCGAGGGCAGAGCCCTGCATCAGGTCCGCCAGCTGTTCCTGCAGGTTTTGAAGCTGCTGCTCCTGATCCACCAGGTGCTCCTCCAACCCCATGGTATCTATCCCGGCATTTAAGCCCAAAAGGTCGCGCATCGGATCATTGCGGGTGTCGTCGGCGTCGGCGACTTCATCGCCTCCAGGCTCAGAACCTGTGGTTCAAGACTTAGTGTGCCCACACTGCATATGCCTATGCTTCGGACAAAGGTGTGTCTAGAGAGTCGAACATCTTCAAAAATATCACCGACAACCTCAACCTGGACTGCGATCTCCAGTGTCCACAGAACATCAAGAATTTCCCATCAGCCCTTCTGCGGAATGCGAATGAGCAAGAGCCATGCAGCTGAGCTAACAAAGTGCAGCGCCTATTCCCAGAGCAGATGACCAAAGCTGCCACCACCAAAATGCAAATGAAGCAGGGTACGCTTTACCCCATACCAAAAGACATCCAAAAAATCTCTGATTAACTCTAAACCGCGAGCTTCAGACCCCGGGCCAGAAACCAGCATGCCCTAGCACCTACACAACAGCAAGATGATGAGTGGCAATGATTGTTTTGGCAGTCACAACGGTCACACCGATGAAGTAAGGCAGTAGCCCGTCCATACCCTCCTCGATGTCTTTTGGCGAATGCTTAGATTGCTTAGATGCAGATTTCCAACTAGGAAGGCCACAGCCGCTTGCAAGTATTCCTGGTGGCATGCGTCGACACACGTGCCTAGAGAGCTTATACCGGCCGTCCTGCTGCAACGCTGGCCACATCACCAGGCAAAGACTCTTCCTCGATGCGCTCCTAGATTGAAGGCATGGGGTTCCTTCTGTTGGCATTTTAGCACAACACGAAAAAACTGAGCGTGCTCGAAAACAAGCCCCAGGCAATCATGTGGGATAGTCTCCATGGTCCTCCTATGTTTCCTTATACTGATGTTAGCATCTATGGAACGACGTCGAAAGACCGAGCGCGCTCGAACCCCAAGCCAGTCGCTAGCTGCAGTTGGGATAGTCTCCATGGTCCCCTAGGTTTCCTTACTGATGCAACTTTCGCATCTTGATTGGATCCCTAGCAAAGTGAGGAAAAGTATCATTCTGACCACAGCTTGTACTGAAGCCTAAAGGCTGGGTCGCAAACGCCTGGCCTGGTGCTTCCTCAGAGCACCAGAAGCGAACACCGTCTTGAAACCGGATTCAAACGGGGCTTCCGAAGAAATAACTGCCAGCCCAAAGTCTGCAAATGGGACCTTCGGAATGGATATCTTCAGCGTGGAGTCCTGGGCGTCGTCATCCTGGTGGTTCGCGCCCAAGTGCAAAAGCAACACCTTCTTTTCAGATTTCTTGGGGCCTGCTCGTAAGTACTAGAGAGAAACTCGAACGATTTGATGTCCCAGCTCCTTGCTGTCCTCCTCCGAGAACTTCACAGTGCTGCCTTCAGCGGAGATAGGTGCCGCCGTGGACGTCTGCTTCCAGCTCAAGCTGCTTGTGACCTGCGCGTCTGACAAACGATGCGGCCGGGAGGAGAGCCCAGAACATCCACCCTCACCCCAACTCCAATCCAACTGACCTTTGATGTCCTTGAAGGTCTTTGTTGTCCCTTCACAAACCTATGTGCCATCGCGCATCTTTCGCGATCCTTCATTCCTTCCTCCATCCACGGCTATGATCCTATACAAACATGACTAGCCTCAAAACCTCACATCCGAAACGCATGTAAATCTCGAAATAAATCTAGAAAGCCCGGACTTGAAAGGCGGCGAACCATACAGTAGCAGCTGTTCCAAGGCACGGGGAGGTCGCTGGCCATGGAGCTGCTGCGACTGAGCTTGCCACCAAGAACCTGCTGACTGATCTGATGTACGACACGCACTAGTCACTAGTCTGGTCAGCCGGAATCCATTCCAATCGTTCTCCCTTGTAACCTATAACAGGGTCAGGATTCAAGACGATGCGGCTTGAAAGGGTCAAGCCGCACTGCGAGCAATGATAGATCTGGCTCGGCTGCCGCTCCGATGGATGCCGAGACCGCCGCCACCACCTCGGTAGCTACACGACTACATGTGGACATGTCTGTGCAAGACACTACGGGGCAGCAACACCCCTGCGAACCGCAACCGCAATCCTCTGACACACTGACAAAACCACGAAAACGAGAGCGGGGTCTGCAGTGCCCACCGTGAGCCGCCCCGTTTCCTTTAACTTTTCCCAGAGCCGTCTAAACAAAGGTCGCCTTTGTTCTGTTTTCTTTGTGATGCTCGCGTCCAAGGAAGCCTTTTCAAACCCTAACGGCAGCTTCCAGCTGCAGCTTTCCACTCCGTTATTATCTTGTGAAGCTTCACAACCAACCGCCCGACTTCCTGCAAGCAATATATATAGGGGTTTTGGTGTACGTTTTCGCGAGCGAAGGTTCCCTACAGCAGGGCAAAGCTCTTCTTTTCTTTTGTCTGCCCGGCTGCATTTGTTGTGCAACGTGTGTGTGGCGAAGCCCTGCTACAAAGGGCTTTGTTTCGCGCGTTTGTTTGGCAAACAAGGGGCAGGAGGTCTCCTTGAGACCTCCTGCCAATGAAAACGCCTGCAAGGGAGGGTGTAACCACATCTGCTGTGGCGCACCTGGATGGTGTAGTCCAAAGCTGGTGGCCACATATTCAGCTAAACTGTAGCACTTGTCAGCCGATTTCCACAACTGCATTACAGGACAGCCATTTGTCAGAGCCAACAACACTATTGTGTGTGCACTGCCCATGTGGCTCAACGTCTTTGCCGCTGGAAATAATCCGAGAAAGAAACAATCAAATCACAGGAAGGATTACACAAGTGTGTCGCTAGTGTGTGCGGGTCTGAGTGTGTGTGCGCCTGTGCGTCTTCCACACAGCCAAGGGTGAGCACTGCTCCCGCGCACTGGCCTCTGCTGTTGGAGTGAACTGCCCGTGCACCATGGTGACCCCTCTGAAGTCTGGCTCTTTTTCTTCTTTTTTTTTGCCAGGGCTGGGGTGGGGGTGTACAGGTCTCTGTCTTGCTTGCTTGCTTGCTGGGCGTGTTGGGGGCAGCAAGGTAGGACCTCACGGCCCCTGCGCGCATGCCCTACACAGTCTGGTGTGAGACTTTGACAAACATGATCAAACATGTCTATCTATTTATCTCCTGGGCATAGGACGGGTAAGCGGCCCCGGGCTTCAAAGCCCACCCATTACATTGAATGGGTATTGCGAGGCGCGAAATACGAGTGTAATGTTCCTCCGTCGGCTATAGCCATAAGTGGGTTGAACCTTTACACTCTATTTGACAACCGCCTCCTGCCCAGCGTGAATATGAAGAACTCTTCAAAGAACTCTTATACAAACCTTACAGGAACCTTGACAGTGAACCCTTAAAACAACCAGCCCTTCAAACGAAACCTCCCATTCCAAAATATTTCAGTACCATCTATCGGGCATTCTATGCGCGGAGGGTTAGGGGCTGAAGGTTTCAGGATAGCCTCAAAGCGTTGCATGAGTTTTTCTTCATGAATCTCATACAACGAAGGATTTCGGATACGCCAAAAAGAATGGCATGAATATTTGCATTAATACTATCATGGGAACTTGCGCTTCGAAATGCTTTTGTATAGAATACACCAAAACGTGTATATGCTTCAACAACTTGCAACATTATGTCTGCGTAGATGCCGGTTGTCGGATTGAAAAAATATTGAAACGGCAGTTGTATGGAGCTTGCAGTGTCTTCGACAAGTTTCGAAATGCTTCCGTATTGAATACACCAAGAATGGTATGCTTCAACAACTTGCAGCGTTATGTCTGTATAGATGTTTACAACAATAGTAGCGATACAGACGTTGTGACATTACTGTCTGCCTTGGTGAGTTCAAAAAGCGCACGCTGTCACACTGCCAAAGCAAGCGTAGCGATTTTCTTGTGGAAAAACAGCCAAGCGATGCCCGGTGCAAAGGAAAAACAGAACAGTGCACAAAACAACCTTCGCTGAGATGTGTCGCTGTTCGGTATCAAGTGTATTTGCGGTTATCCCACTGCCACATAACCGAGAAATGTCGAGATGCTCCGACGGGATGGGCTTCGTCCACTCGAGCGAATGCGGCTAGAAGCAGAAGAGGTCACCTGGCCGCCTTTCTTTAAGGTATCTACCCTAACCACTTTCCCCGTAAGTCTCTCCTTAGGAGAAACTTCTTCCAGGTCCCGACCTGTGTTCCCGTGACGGCTTGCCAGAGATCAAAGCGACATGGCGGTTGTGTCAGTGGAGACAGCAATAACAACAACAGGAAGGCCTTCTAAGCTTGCGATGGTTTTGCCGATGCCGTCGTGGAGCCGCTTCTCTGTGTTGCGCACCAGGTTGAGCCCCTGTGAGAAGCAACACGTGGCTCGTGGTCAATATTTGTAACATGAACTGCAAAAACAAAGGGCCTCGTCAAAGAGTTCCGGACACACTTCCACAAGCTGACGTCCGAACCAATTTGGCGGCAGGTCACACACATTGCTGCTTGCTTTGTTTGGTCCACTCAGCCTGATCGAAGCCAATCTCACACTAATAGGGTCACTATAGTCAAGAACACCTGCCTTGATGTGATCCAAGAGGTATGCTTGCTCCTCCAGCGTGCGTTCGCGGGTCTTCACAGACCTCACACTAAAGCATTTACACTGCACCACTGTGCAGCCGTAACGAAGTCGAAAAATATATCCAGGCAACTGAGACCACGCAAGCAGTCTCTGCTGCCATGCTTGCAGAGGGGCAAGCAGGGACACCCGAAAGCTGGTCCAGAGGCGCTTTGTTCGAGGCAACCACTGCACGTCAGGTGGTGCAACCTCATATAAGAAAACCCGTTTGGCAAAACAACATCACAGTGCATTCAGAAACAATCCTCCGTGTATCACACAAGTATGGTTTGGAAAGACCGGAGCCGCCTTGGAAACCGAGTATCATGCGACTCGCCAAGCTCCAGAACTGTCGTTGCGGGCTGGACGTCGCAGACGTCCTGCAGATGTTTGTTGGATCTATGGGAACGTAGCTCTCAACTGCATTACCACCTGCAAGCGCCAAAACTTTCGTGCCCAATAAAGATTCCAGTGTCTCTGTTTTGCAACAGAGCTTGGAAACAGCAAACCGATTCCACCACAGCTTGTTGAATCTGAGCTTCGTTGGCGGTGCCGCGCGTGTGTTCAGACCGTAGTTGATCATGGCATTTCGAACCCTTTCATGTTCAGGTCTTTGAGCATCCTTGTCTTTGTCTGCGTCCACTGTCGACGCTGAACGCACCATGCTCGCCAATGCCTGAGCCGAATTGGAAGGCGTACTTTGCTCCACATGCTGAAGACCACGGGCCTCGCACATCTTTTTCTCCGTGACGCCCTCGCCATCTTTTCGACCAGATCTCCACACTGCTCTCTGCTGTGATTCCTTTCGAAACCATGCTGCAAAAACAAAGACGCTGCAATCGCTGGCCGTGACTCCAGAAACGCTCTCAAGGTTGTGTCCTTGGCGAAGATGCCGTCCAAATATGGATCCGGATACTCGGCTACCAGTACCTTGTCGTCCCAGAACAAGGGCTTCGGCTCCCACACCGCACATCGACGGTAAACGGAAAAAATTACGCTCTTTGACGTTCTTGAACTGCATGATTTGGTTGGACTCATAACGCTTCCATCCGAAACATCGAAGCATTCTGGTGACGAAGCCGTACGGACGCCTGGCCGCCAAATCATCTGCAGAGAGTAGTTTCTTGAACAAATCTTGCTGGAATGCCTTGTTTGTTTCTGGAGTTTGCTGCGCTGTCAATATGACGCAGTGCACGAAGGACTCTAACTGCTTCCTCATCTCGTCTTCAGTATGGAAGAAGTTTGAATCTATAAATGCGTGATTTCTTCCATAAACTGCTGCAAGATGAGAACTGTACATGGACTGGCCGGTGCCGCCAGGACATTCACCGATAGAACATCGGTCGATGTTTTCTCCTCGTTTAGCCAAGGCAAGTGCGGCCATGCTGGCCGCCAGGAAGTTTTCGTTGCACCAAAACGCTTGTCTGAAAAACCTTTCCAGCCGAAGCTTTGCTCCTTTGAACTCCGGATCATCAAGCGCATGTGGGTGTAGTGGATGAGCAATGCGAACATAGAGGTTCAGGTCTGGACTCGGAACCACCAGACGCGTGATTTGTGCCTCAGTGGAGTCGTAGAGCACGCAGCAGTCTGTGTAGGCGACTCTCTCACCCCTCCCCCGAGCCGGTTGGCTCACCCCTGTTTGAGGGACTTCTGAAGGAACGTGAATCTTAGTGGGTGCCGGGGATGGAACGAGGCAAATCGGACTTCTTTGTCAAGTGTGTCCTATATAAACAAGATCTCTTTTGAGCATACAACACCAAAATCTCTCTTCTAGGGCTAATGGTGGAGGGTTGTGGACCAAACTCTTTCTTCTTTCCTTTCTGGTCCGAAGACCCGCCACAAGCCCCCATTCCTCACACGTTTAACAAAATCTCTCATTGTCTTTCTTTCTTTCTGCCGGGCTTAGGGGTCACTGTCGTGACCCTCAGGCTTTCAGCCCGCCCGTCCACCCGCTGTTTTGGGAGTGGACGGCATTGGGGTCCCACTGACCGTTGCACTTACTACCGAGTATGTTTCAGATTCTCGAGCTGTTACCCCCCGACCCCGAACACTAGAGCAACCCCAACCCGCCTCGTCCCCGCGCCCCTTTGGCAACCATCCAGAGGTTTACAGCTCGGTAACCGGAAACATGGTCTCGAGTGTGCCCGTGGGGCTTCATCAAACACGTAACATCCTAGGCTTGAAAAGCACGTAGTTGAAGCTCCCCGTGGGTGTGAAGTGAAAAGCAGTACACGCGGCTTTCCCCCGAACATGAACTGGACCTGGTTGTCACTAGCCTGCGTGTTGCAACTGGGGTGTCAGCTCAGGCCTGTGTGAAAACAGTCCCCCCTTACACTAGAACCTAGAACGACGTCGGCACTCAGAGCTGTTCCCCCTGTGTAGGGTGCACGGCCTAGTCGGGGTCCACTTCGCAGCCTCATACACAACAAAACGG